AAAAGTTTATATGTCAGTCATAAAAATTATAATGCAGTGATACGAACGAAGGAAGATACCTTAAGTTTATTGCCAAGAAAGAAGCTACGGAACCTTAAAAGTTTTTGCCAACTAGGGATGCTCTTATGTGTCATTGCAAGAGAGTTTCGTATCAAACAGCAATTGTCAAACAATCAGTGGAGGCGAATCTCAATATTCCAAAACCCAATGGATATGGATGGCGAGAAATTGGCAATTAACTTGATGTTAAATTGATGCTCATTAGACCTGCTCCAGAAGATGTTTTGCAGTTAATTCCTGTTCGTGTAAAAAGTCAAAATGTGAAACCCGGGTTGATTGCATGGATTGACTTGTACGCAACTGTTCGTCTTGTGAAAACACAAATGATTGGGACGAGACCTAAACAAAATATTATTCAACTGATTCGAATTTTCCTTTTTAAAAATCTGTTCACTAAATTTTTTTTTTTCGCGAAATTTGAAAAAATTATTAGCGTGACGTCATCAGTACCAAACAAGGGCCCGAATTTGACCCTTTATATTAGAATTGCTCGTAAGTTTTTCTAAAGGTTTTATTATTTACTATAAGGTTTTCTTAAGAGATTATCTAACGTTTGACGTAAATATATATTTATTAGTTGAATAAAAAAAAAGTAGACCAGCGTGACGTCATCAGTACCAAATAATGCCCCAAATTTGACTCTTTAAGCACTTTCAGAAAGACACGTAAATTTTTTTCGTGTAAAAAAAATTTACGTGTCTTTCTGAAAGATTTGTTGTAGTTTGGTCTAATGTTGGCATTGCTCACGTGCATGTACTCTTCATGGCGCAATACTGATCACTTGAGAAACCATTTAGCAATAAAAAAGTCAAAGAATCATCTGGTTCTTTTTGTGTGACTTCAGATTTTTTTTTTAAGAAAATTGCATCAAGTGCATGTTATGCAGTTTTCCTACCTGTTGATTGGTTGATTGACAAAAAAAATTGGACATAATTTATGGAAACAACTAAAACGCGTCTCGATACCAATGTTTAATTGCGATAAAAAGAGCTATAAAAATTAGAAAGCTTCGTTCTACGCATGTACTGATCATTCTACACATGTACTGATCAAGCCCCAGCGACAGCTGAGTATAAATTTCTTCAGTTACATCAATATTTATGTGAAGACGCATTAAAAGCAATTGAAGGACTTGGAAATTTGTCATTCGCTTATGAAGCTGCAAAATAAAGACTAGAAAGAAATATGGCGGAATAAGGAAAAAAGTCCTTATGTATTTGGATGAATTGAACAACTTTAAACCTATGAAGGAAAATAA